TTGTACCTCACAAGCCTCAATAATGAAGGATCACGTTTGAGGCATACAGAATTTTCCATGGCAGTTTTGCATAAAGAAAGCAAGCAACGAATTCACAAGGGGCTTGAAAAAGTATCGAAATTCAATGTTTTGGCCTGTTAGGACAAAGGGGTTAAAATTGGAAATTAAATTTAAAAAACGCACCTTGTGTCAAGTTTGTCAAGTACTGTGAGTTAATATATGATTTTTGAAGAGCAACCTTTGTTAAAACTATCTGACATCAAAACAACCAAAAACATCCCAACAGTATCAATGCTTTTACCAAAGACTATATAAAACAGAATTAACAGCAAATTCGTAAATTTGAGAAGTCAGAGCCATGAAATGTTTTCAGTGTTTGCTTGCCATAATTGATTAAATTAATTGTTCAACAGCTCTTTTTCTGACAATCGACAAATTGATTCATAAACTAATAAATTCAGCATTGTTATCACTAAATTTTATGACTATAAATTTTAACCTTGTTCTCTAACGCAGGACAACAAATATGTGCTTATCAGTAAAGGTAATCTGCTATAACCAAAACAAAACGTTTGCCTTTTAAACACAAATGACGTTACAGAGTACTTGTGTCCTATTGTCTATGCGATTGTATTTGAGTAAGTGAGGTTAGTGTATCATGCTCCAAAACCCTGCTTTTACATTACGTTCATGATGCTACTCTGTTCATCAAATGTGTTTTGAAAAAAGTCACTTCTGATCTCCGTGGGCGTTAAAAAGAGTTTGAGCACAACGTCAACTTTGTTCTTTTATAATGTTTCTGAACGCAGAGAGAGGGGAGGTGAATGAGTGCCTACAGGTCTTGTCCTCATATTTCCTCCAGGAAGATAAAGACCTACAGACTGGCAACAATAATCATCACATGGGAAGATTAGCCTCAACTACGGTTTGATGGTCAATGTAAAGCAACCTTTTCTTTGCACTTACTAATGAAACAGGAAAATTCAGGAAAGATTCTATTTCATACACATACATACATCCACTGAGAGCTGTTTTGTCAACTTTTGAAAGGCGGACGTGTCTGTCACTGTGAATAATAGATTATTAGTGACTAGAATAGATTCATAAAGAAGCTGGAGCAAGTCACTAACACTTAGGCTTACTACACTATCAGCAGTGTGCAGGGCTACACACACTTGATCTGTTTTACTTCAATTTGCATGGTTGCTTTCTATCAGTAACTCGAATGATTTTTCTCTCGCATCCTTTTTTAAATTTGCAGATGGAAAGCTCCAATCTTTCTATTTTATTTCCCCATTGTGTTAAGTGTGTTTTTGTCTCTACCCGTCCTTCACATTGAGGTCAAGTTCAGTAAAAAAAAAATGACAGCACTATTTGAGTTGGACTCATCTGTTTGAGAGTCACAGCCACAGGAGTACACTGCTGTCATAACAACGCCACTGTTACCCAATATCACAATGCCATTTCACTTTATGCTAGTGATCGCCACATAGAACACCAGCTAGAAATACTATTTCTGTCCTTTCAATTTGAAAAATAATGAGCAAGAAAATGCAAAACTGAACAACCACAACCCAAACACTGCACATAAAAAATGTGTTCCGTCATTCATTTTGCCCCTGTCCTTGACACACTCTATGCCCACCCTTGCTATTATGCAATCATGTAGGAGGAAGAAATAATAAATTTAGTAGAAAATGTTCACACTAAACTACCAATCATTCCATTGTGTTACGTGTTAAATGATTGCCATAAAAAAAAGATTACTGGTCGGCTTAAAAGTTTAATAGATAGGTAGAAGATGCTCTTTAGTGAACCAGAAACATTCTGTCTCCTTTTCATCTCCAGCTGCAGAGAAATCCTTAAACAAAACAACCTCCACCTGTTTAAGAGCAAGGTTTTTTCTGAGGTGCCTTTGTATCATCATGTCGCCTTGGAGACAAACAAACTCCTGTCATGTCCAGGAGTGGCCATACAGTGTCAGTGTTGCGTAACAAAAATCTTATAAACAATTTGCACCATTGAAAAATAAAAATTGCACAGGTTAATCTAGCAAATAGTACCTTTCATACAAACAATGCAGGGTGCATTATGTAAAAAAAAAAAAACACCTCAAAAGAGATAAAGAGATTTAAAATGCAGCAGACAAAGTCAAACTGAATAAATTCAGTCAAAAAGGCCTGACTGTTTATGAAAGGAATTTAGTTGCATGCCAGATATTTATGGGCAGCCTATTCCACAGTTTGGACCCATAATAACAGAAATGCACTTTAAGGTTTAATAATTGGGTTTCAGAATCATTAGTTAAATTTGCAAAAGGCTTAAAAGACTTTAAAATACTTCAATTCACCTGGAAGAGAATTACACTACTAGCGGTGTTATTTGAGTGCACCCGTGGGGTTACTGTAATCCCATTTAATGTGCTACATTACTTCCTAAAGGTGCCAACTGAAAACACACTGGTGAGTGAAAGTGAAAGGACCTGGCCTTGACGAGATGAGAAAGAGAAGAGGAACCAAAAGGAATGTAAATAACATGAAAAAGGTGAGGCGTGAGGTGACATTTCCCGACACAGAACTGTCCATTGATGAGATGATTACATGTTTAGTGTTTAACTCTGATGTTTAAGAGTTAAACATCTGTCACCTGTGACAATTTTGAGATAATAATAATAAATATTATATAATACTAAATATTACAAAATATGACTCCCAACTATTAAGTGTGGTGCTTTGCCTTGGTCTTTGGCTGTGTCCTCATCTCAGTAACAGCGACTGTTTTAACCTGCTGCACAATGTGGCATGTTTTAGATTAACAGTGTAGGAATAACAGACATTTACAACTACAGTTATTGAATCATCAACATTTATCTACTTCACATTTTCACCATGAATCATATTCATTTCCCTCTCACATGTATGTCAGTGATGTTAAAATAGGCCAGAAATGCAAACTGATGAATCAACAATCATCAAGAGATCTGTCATTATAATCTGGCCTCCATTTTCAACTGACTTCTTTCTCTTTCTCCTTTTGATGAAGCAGCTGGCCTCCGAGGTAGCAGTGCAGTACAACACACTACTTTCAGCGCTGTAGTCTGTGTTCAGAACTAACATTAGACACACTCTAGACATATCCGGTCGGGAAATACTTAGAAATGTCCTATATGATGTGAGGATCATCCTAAATATTGTGTAAGCTCAATGAGAGATGGAAAATTATTGTTTCACTCCACTGCATACTGTAAGGGTGCATATTGTGGACTGTAAATAGTAATTACATTTTTAAGCAAATACAATCAACCCTGAATGTGAAAAAATTAAATGTACTCTTGGTGAAACTAATCTGAAAATGAATGGACATTCAATTCAATTCAATTGGGCTTTATTGGCACGGGAAACAAGTCGTTTACATTGTTTCTTTGTGTTCATTAGAGAATCAATATTCAGTGTAGATTCTATATTAATTATCGTAGTAGTTTTTCTGTGACATAGTCCAAGGCCACAAATCTGCTAGTAGTCTATCTTAGTCTGAATTGTGTCAACTTTATTTGTTTCCAAATATCCACAATCCACAAGTACCCAATGTACTTAAAAATCCACGAGAGAAATGTTTGAGTGAACCTTTTAATCTAGATAATCCAGTAATATTACTGGATTAATAATACCGGATAGATCCAGTAATATTCTATTTATGTAGTAGGACACCCCTCTGCTAATAGATTGTTATCAGAATGTTATTGTTCTTAAATATTGATACCAGCAATGGCTCCAAAACGGCATCAGTCAGGCTCTTATTAAGAGAGCAGATAACAGATCACACTGATGGTGGTGTCCAGTGTGTCTTTCTCATTATGACTTCAGGTTGAAGCGAGCTGCATGCTAGTGACTCACAGCTCAAAGATGACACATCTCGCCTCCTCAAAACCACATGGACTCTGTTTCACAACATAGCTATTTTCATAAAACATTCATTTACAGGTAGTGATGGGGAATGAATGGAGAGCTATTTCAGGAGATGGGCAGCCTATGGTCTACTAAATTACTTTGTAACACTCAAGACTAGACCCGCCCTAACACCAAACTGTGAAAGGGGTGGTCATGGCGCAATGGATAAGACACATGCCTTTGGTGGAAGAGACCCTGGTTCAATTCCCCACTGTGCCCCATTTACCATTGTGTCCCTGAGCAAGACACTTAACCCCTAGTTGCCCCAGAGGCGTGCATCCTCTGACATGTATAGCAATTGTTAGTTTTTTTGGATAAAAGCATCAGATAAATGTAAAACATAAAATTATTTATAAGGATCAAGACTCTTGAATTTAGTCTGCATAGTGTTTACACTATTCTCCAAGACAGAAGAGCTTCATTACTAGTGTGAATATCAGTGCAAATAATTGTTTTGTTCAATACATTTTCCTGGTAAGAGCATCAGACATCATCATATAAGGCCTAAAGTACATGTCTGAGAATTACAACTTTGTGGTTCTTTGAGGATGTTGATTTTCACAGCCACACACAACTTTTTTTCTTCAAGGTTGCAGTTTGTACAGGCAGTCAGATGTTAAGGTGAAAAGAAAACTGGGAGGGAGAAAGGGCCGATGCCATCATTCTCGTCCTGTATATCCAGTACTCCCCAGCAACATGAGGCATAACTTAATGTATATTTGATATAAATGATCATAAGTTACAACTTCTAGATGCTACTTTGTTGCGAGGTTTCATGGTCCAACACTATAACACTATATTTAACTATCAAGTGGAAAAAATATCAGTGTCCAAGAGAGTATTGCTTGCCTTTTGTGATTTGCTGCACCTTTTCAAACCAGATCTTACACTAAATCAAACCAAAAGTTCACCCTAACTGGGCACTAGGTAGCCTATCTATTTCACATGTAGTCTTTCTTTACAAACGTTCACTGACACATTATAAGCGGTATATATTAAGTGTAATATTGGTTCGTTCCCCCCGAAATAAAGTGTGACTCAACCCATTTACTAGAAGGTCCTCAGGGGTTTAAAACGTCTCCTTTTTAGGTATGATAAAGTTTGGGACCCCTGGTTTACACCCGGCAGCAGGCTGCTCTGCAGAGTTTCAGTCACGGGGTGAGGGAGGGGGTGAATCTGCAGGACTCAGCTCACCACGCCTCGGTACGGTAACTTCGTCAGCCATATTGACTGTCTGTAGGCTACCTCTTCTCCGGTCGTGGGAGCCTGGCGGAGGAGTTTCCACCACTGAAGCTTGTGTACCCTCGGTACGCACCGTCTCCGGTAAACAGCACAGAGGACGGGAAGGTGAAACGCTCTATTTTTACTCGCTGTGGATATATAAAGTACTGCTGCCAGCTGGAGAGGGTGACAGTTGGACACATCCTCAGCGCAGCCAGGCGTTAGAGGTGAGTTTGATCGCCTTCATCTGTGCCTGCCTTCCTTTAAGCCGTTCAAATGAGGGGGGATTTATTTTCCGCTCCGGGCTGGAGAACGGGTAGCGGTGTTTTTACGCAGGCACGTTAATGAGCCGCAGCGGTTCTAACTTATTTTTTTTTTTAGCACACACCGATTTGACAGGCAGGCTAGAGGCGGCGTGCGGCTCAAATTTGGCTTCACCACTAACCGGGTTCTTGGACCTTTCAGGACGTGAGGACGGGTGAGTGAACTGGTGTCACTTTGCTGCGGTGCTGTGTGTCAGTTCAACTGTTACGCAACAGAGCAGGACTGACATTAGTAGTCGGGGTAATTAGATGCTCCTTTCCAGAATGACCTGTCGGCGGTTCGCAACCGCCGCTCATATTAGGGGAGCGCATCCACTTTTGGCGTTTTTAGTGCCGCTGAGAGCGAGGCTAAGCATATCACCATTGTCACCTGGACGAAATGCCCATCTCTGGTGTTGAATTCCGCGGTTAACTGAGGTCCTCTTTGCGTTTTTCATGTTGGAGGGCTCTCCGGCTCTTTTGCTCAGTGCGGAAACAATGGTGTTTTTTTTGCGCCGTTTGCAACTTTAGCAGCGAGTCCTGCCGCTGCTGACGACGCGCCTTGCTTTCTGCAACAATATTGCAAACAGCAGCTGCAAAAACGTCATTAGCACGTTGTCACACTGAATCGGTTTTGGCCCTTGTTGTTGATATGCATGGACTCGCTTGTGGTGGTAAGGGGACTCTGAAATCTACCTGTGGTCGATTCAAATTCCGCTGTTTCTGCGCCTGCATCCATGGCACTGACATACACTGATGTGTGCCTTTGAGCCAAACGACAACCAAATCGCTTTCAGTCTGACACATACAAAAGCACAAATGTACACGAGAGAGGCTGGTGCTTGTTCCTAAACGGTGTGTAACTAAGTTAGTCTGAGTGAGTTCAAGTGAGTTTACCCTCAGTCCTGGAAACCGCGCCGACTTACACCGCATGTAACACTGGCAAGTTCAGCGTTTGCACGTAAACAACGGTCCTGAATACAGTGACATTAACGCTCCCACACATGATGCTAGCGGTCCATCTGGCAATAACAGATGCTCCGTCGGCGTCAGGGAAGTTAGGACTCTCTGATTGGCCTAATTACAGCAAGGGGGGTGAGTTTATTGGCTGCTGTCGCTGTCGCTCAAATCCTCCTGTTGCTCCTGACTCCGCCTCCTCTGGGACCAAATTACAGCTCATTTGAGAAAGAGGCTCTGTGCACCAGCCATGAGATACGTTTGACGGCTGGTTTTAGATTTCCCTCAGCAGCGCAATTTTTGGTAACCTGTTGAATAATCTCACGGCTGCAGATCAGAGCAGAATAATGCTGTTTTATTCTGGCCACATGTGCACATTAACGTAAATTACTGAATAATATAGCTTGTTAGTGGTCTGTTATTTAATCTTAGTGCTGGTTTAAATTCAGGTAAAGTCATTCCTGTTGGCTACCAGAGCCCCAGAGTTACCTTTTAAAATGATATCAATTAGTAATAAAAAGATGAACTGTTTATTTTTAATACAAATGTTAGGTTACCATTTTAGAAAACTAAAGTTTCAAGTCATGTGATGGTCCAGTACATGAACCATTTTATATGTCCTTGCTGCTTATCATTATGTATGAACTTTACATTTTGGAAAGAGGCACACGCAGCCCAACCTGGGACCTTCAACAAAGCAACATCTACAGCATTGTAGGTGTTTCAGGGCAGGAAACAAACAGGTCATGGTTTCCTTTATGCAGAAACAAATTTAGACCATTTTGCAGAAACAAACAGGCACGTTAATCGAGAAAGTAATTTGCCAGATTGGCTTCAGATTCGGCATCTGAAGCTGGCCAAATGGATTTCTTCACACACCAGCTGCTGCTGTGAGACTGTCTGAAAGTGGTTGTGATGTCAGCTGGTCAGTTCTTCATACTGTGTTGTTGCAAATTTTGTTAATTAAGCCTGATAGAGGAGATTTGTATCTACCTATTTTTGTCATTTGCTGTTTACATTTGCACATTTAAGGCTGAGTGGACATTTTTGAAACTGGTTCCTTTTTTATCTTTTGTGTTTTTGTTCCATCAACTGTGGTTACATTTTCAGTCCGGTTAAACCCAAAATAAAAGAAGACTGAAGCAAAATTGAATGTAACAGAAATATCCATTATAATCATTCACTGTATTATAAAAGTGCATACATGCATTAGCAATGAATACAGTAGGTCGAAGTTGAACAGGAGTTGCTCAGAAGTGCAATGGACATTAAAATGTGCAGTATTAGTAATCATTTTAACACTCAATTCAGTTTCAAATCAGTGGTTCGGATTATTTAATTGAAGTGGGATCTAAAAGCTGATGCCTCATGCGCATGCACAAATGATGGTAAATATCTGAATAAACAACACAGACTGTAAAATAAAAATTCTGATTTAATTAATTAACAATACAAAGCCATAGTAAAGTAATTTCTTTGTTAAACTTTGTTTGATGGACATTTCATTCTAAAAGCAATTATGCCAACTATTCACTTGTTCCAGCCTCTCAAATGTCACACATGCTGGTAACCTGTGTTACTGTGGATTGTTTGAAATAATAACATTTGGCATTTTATATACAATATTAATTGATTAGTCAAGAAAATAATCTGCAGATTACTCAATAATAAATATGAATTGCGAGTTGCAGCTCTGAAAGATACAGCGTGCTAACATTTATTTATTTTTATTCATTTTTAGTGGACGCTTTTATCCAAAGCGACTTACAATTGCTATACATGTCAGAGGTCGCACGCCTCTGGAGCAACGAGGGGTTAAGTGTCTTGCTCAGGGACACACTGGTGGATGGGTCACAGTGGGGGATTAAACCAGGGTCTTTCACACCAAAGGCATCTGTCTTATCCATTGCGCCATCACCCCCGCTAACGCTTAGTTTCACAACCCACATCACAGCCAGGTTCACTGACAGACACTATCTAGTTTCTCTTTCCGTCTGTCACTATCACGTCTTCTCCTGTTTTTCTTTCACTTTCATTTTATGTATCTGCATATCTCTATCGTTCCTGTGCTGCTTTTCTGAAACGTGTGACATTATGCAGCAGGTTAAGTCAATTAGGTTACGAAGTATTCTGACAGAGAAAGACTCATATTTCCATTCATCTCTATACGTAGAGTAGTCTGGTGGTCTCAGGTTTAACAGGTAGTGTTCCGTCCAAATTCGGTCCTGTGTCCTTGAGCAAAGCACTGAACATCAACCTACTAAATCAAACTGGATGATGACATTCATCTCAGATTTCCATTCCTTTTAACAGCTGTCAAAACCGGTTGACTTTTTTTGTAGCTGTTTAGCCAAGTGAATATTTATTGTACATATTAATCAGATTAATGTTAATAATGCTGAATACTCCATCCTGTTGCTGGACTCCTCAAAAGATTACTAAACAAAGATGGAAGGGGGGAAAAAACTGTCACGAAATGGCAATGTTTGTGGGTTTTCAAGGTCAGGTAGTCTGTGGTCTATGTTTTAGGTCTTTGTTTTGAAAGCAGATTCCTCTTTTTGTCTTATAACTCTTTCAGTTGGAGGGATCCCGAGTAAAGAGTCACTGCCTTACGTCTGCTAAACATTCAAGTCCATTAAGTGGCACCAAAGCAGCATTAAAATTTAATTTAAAGTGACAGCATTGTTTTGCATTGTTTGTGTTTGTGGGTTCAAAGGTCACACCCTCAACAGGCTATTTGTGCAGTTTGAAACACTGTTCTTCTTGCACTCGATGAGGAATCTGGTGTACAAGTAGAGCCTTGTTGTCAAGCAAAGCAGTTGGTACAGTTTCCTGCTGTTATAACAGCTGTGGGAAGTTGTGAATGTCATCTCTGGCACTTAAAGTAGGACAATTTGTAGTCTCTGCAGACACATAACTCAAACTATGAAATTTTCCTTAATTGAAGAAGACACACTTTTAACGTGGATGCCCTCATTGTTGTCTGTTAGGCAGATTTGTCTTTTTTTTTTCTTTGTTTAGATATTTGGACCCTATAAGGATTGAACCAAACCACAAGCAGAAACACACACAACCACAAGCACCTCAGGAGCTAAACCTCAACCCGTCAACCAAAACAGTGTTCACTTGCTCAATGAAAGTTTATTTCCTCAGTCAACTCTGAGCTCATAGAGGCAATAAAACAAATGAAGGTTAAACCACAAAAGAAGCAAAATATGATCCACAAAGTAAAGCAAGCAGGAAGCAAAATAATTCAAAATTAAAGATGACAACAGAGAGAGAAGTGAGTTCCAGCAGGAAACAACTGAGGGAGAAGTCAAACAATCAATCAATAAGTCATTAAGAATTGTTTCTAAAAATCTGAACCAGTTCCAACTTTATAAGAAATGAAGGTTTGTTAAGAAACACACTTTCTGATTTTGCTAATCACAGGTCAGCTTCATTCTGTGTTTCTTGGGGCATGGTGTAAGAATGCAGCACTGTTGATGTCCTAGTTGCTGTCGTAATACCCAAGAATCAGAGCATGGTAGCATGTCCAGCCAGTATTCAACAAATACATGGCAAGATAGAGGCTATTTATATTTTTATTTTATTTTAGATTTTAACCAGAGACACAAACTAGCTTTTATTGTTTTGACAAATATTGCTTTTCATTGCCCAAAATAACGTGGTTTGTGCTTTCACTATACTTTTGTAGATTGTCTTAGTTAAACAGTTTGCCACACATCGTAACTTAAGTCAGAATTGAAAAAGAGAAGTACAGTAATATTCTATCAACTCTGAATGATACCCAAACCAACCACACCTGCAGGGCTGTTAAAGGGGAGAGGAATGCAGAGGAGGAGGAGCCAGGATGCTCTAAAAGTGTGTGTAAAATGCAATAGTGTGTTGAGATTGATTTGGACAAAACAAGAGAGAGAGAGATGAAAGAGTGTAATGTGCACAACGAGCAGAGTTTCTTTCTGCATGAATGGTGACCTGGAAGCTGTATCCGCTTGGGAGAGAGCCTCTGGTTTCACTGAATGAAGGGACACACACACACACACACACACACACACACACACACACACACACACACACACCCTGACATCCAGGTTTACGAGGTAGTGGGCTGCTGAACAGAGCAGACCTGTGTTATTTTGGAAAGCTCCGGATGTTTTCAGCTACAGCACACACTAAAGGTCACCCTTAGAGTGTGTGTGTGTGTGTAGGCCCGGGGGTCATGTGTTTCTGTAAAGCCTGGTGCATTTAAAGCTATTAAATTTTGTAGGTGGTAATCACTTTCACCTTGCTGAATGCAGAACAAAGCTGATGTTATCATTCTAGTGGCTGTTAGACCCGAAGAATGAACACAGAAAAAATAAAGAGAAAAAGACTGCAAGCTAGAAGAGGCATTTTGTCCAGAATATATTTATCTTGCACTGAATATTACACAACTTGCAGCATGGATTATTAAAGTTGTGCATACTCTATTCTTTCAGAGTGAGAGCCATCTTCTCTAACTTTCTACATTCCAGTTTTCCAATTAAGGCAGTGACAGATCTTTAAGTCTGTTCGTTATTTTAGTATTCAGGGTCTTTACCTATCTCCTGGCTGCAGGTATATGGGTCAAGGCAAGCTTTGAATTCTTATGTACCCCTCCCCTTGCTGGCTCGCTCTCTCCTTTCTTTCCCATCAGGGCACTATTCTACTCCTCACTCTCTCACAAATGATAAGGTGCAAAGACGCTGCGCATAAAAACGAGATAAAGAGGTAGAGGGAAATTGCACATGGAGACCCAGCTGATGAACTCACCACAGGCAGCATATTGTGCAGTTTTATTACATAGACCTGCTTTATATTTAAGCCATTTAGCGAAGTGACTAGCACTGATACAGGTTTAGTATCTTGAAGCATATGTGTGGCTGATATTAAATTAGGTACCAACAACACATTTAGGAAGTGTTTGGTGCTTTTATATTTCCAGGCTATGGCCAAACTACCGGAAGGTACCACTGGACTCAAGGGTTTAACTGAATTTGTTGCATCTATGCATTGATTATAAATGATGCTGATACAGTCTGCTAACCTCTTGAAAGATATCCTAATTGAATTGTTCTGGTTTCAGCAGAAATCGATATTGCGATTAAAAGTCAAATCGAATAATCGAACTGCAACTACTTTCTGCACTTTTAAAACTATAAAGCTGAAACTGGTGTTGTCACTGCTAGAGGATTTGGGCTGTTTTGTGGTATAAACTTCGGGCTAAATCAACTTTATTAAGAAATATGCATTTCATGTGTTGCAAATAGATATACAAAAGAGAGTGTGGTCAATGTTCCATATTAGCCTGGCCAAGTAATTGTTTTTAGTGGGTGAAATTAATTTAATTAAATTTACATTGCGCCAATTCGTAACAGAAGTTATCGCATTGCCCTTTTCATAGAGAGCAGGTCTAGACCGTACTCACTGTAATTTTTACAGAGACCCACAATTCCCACCGTGAGCAACCACTTGGTGACAGTGGTAAGTAAAAGTACAAGTCTAGAGTCATGTTCAGGCTCAAATTGACAGTCTGGTTCAGCATGGTCTGGTCTTTAAGACATGTGGAGGTCTGGTCTCAGTTTAGGTCTGTGCAGAACTTTGGTCACTGCTGCCACTGTCAGGAATATTAACATTATAGCTACGGTAAAACTGCTAATTTTACACTACAACTATTACTGCCGAGTGAAATGAATGTTCAAGAATGTTCAGACTAACATTTAATGCTTAAGAAAGGTGGAAAATTGTTTAATTATTTCAATAATGTGTTCTTTGACATCAATACAGAATATATTAAATGTAAAGATTGCTGTTTAAAAGCAGTCTTAAACATTAAAACACTGTTTAACGCTCAGAAGTCTTCCGTGTTATCATGTGAAAAAGTGGAAACATTAGTTTTGTTTTCCCTTTTAGAATAATGATAACATTAAAATACTGCTGCCTTTCATTTTTTATTTTAACAATTACTGCTGTAAATGGTGTCATAGAGGAAAGTTGAATGACAATGTTGGGTTTGTTGAGCTGCTTTTGTGCCTTGAGTATGAGGTTGGCCTGATTGCCAGTGCTCACTTTGAACAAAGACATATTCCAGGCCTCATATAGCTTCAGGATTTGGCCGCTGACGGGATGATGGAAGGTCTGACTGTCTGCAGCTGAATTAGGCCACTTTTTTCAAAGTATAATTCATAATGCTCTCTGATGTTCATTTTGCCTCAAGAACTTTCAATGAATTTGAGTCCAAAGCAAAAGGAAACATTTAGGACAGTTAAAGAGGCGTAAAAAAATCTCTGGTACTCAGTTTTCAATAGTTTGTAATTGACAGAACTGATGTCACATTTTCACAATAGATAAAAGCTTAGAGCTTACTAGAACTAGAGTTCCAACATCGCCTTCTAACATTAATTGTACGTGATTTGATATTGGTAGCCTTTGCAGCAGAAATGTCTGTAGCACTGTTCACTGTTTATATATGTTTATGTTTGTTTATATATAATCTATGCATTTGTTATGTAGATCCAGAATCTTCCAGTGTTACCTTTAGTTTTCAGTTTGTTTCTGCCCTCAAGCCTGAGCTTGTGATTGAGCCTGGTTTAATTGTCCTTGCTAACACTTTAACAAGTTGAGAACGGTGTTGCCACACGCACCAGATCTGGACACCTACCGACTGCACTCTCTATTTTAGATTCTGGTCATTTAGCTGATAAGCAGTTCTAGATAAACCCACACTGTCTACAGATTAACCATAACTTCAAGCAACTTGGGAGTAAGCAGGTCAAGGGTAACCTTAAAGAGATCATATGGCTTCTCAAAAATAGAACGCAGTTTTTTTTATCTGTCTATTTCTCGCTCTACGATTTCTGTCTATTTTTGTAGTTCTCTTTTTTTCCCTCTCAGATACTTGCCTAATTCTCTCTGTACTTTCTTCTTCTGTCTCTTCTTTCTTATGCTCCAAAACTGCCACTAAGCATGTTGTGTTTTATGCTGGTAAAAATCCAGATACACCTCTGCCATTCTTACTTCAATCGGACTCAGGAGAATTTTCAGCTGTATGCCAAAGTGGTGAAGCTCAGTAGCAGCTGTTAACATGAGTGTTTGTATGTACGTTTCTCTCAATTACAGTTTCCACTTGTGGGAAGAGAGCAAGATCATACTGGATTCATTAGTTCTTCTCAGTGATGAAGGCTGATAATCAAACTGAATTGGTGTTTCATTTTTAATTCATTGTTCATTCTGACGTGTTCATGCTTGCCGTTTCCTGTTAGGGAGGGGGCATATTTTGCACTTACACAGCGGCAACTTATGTCCAATAAGCATCCTTTTCAGTCAACATGAACATGGTTTGTGGTAGCTGTTGCTAAGAGTAGTTAATATAAAATTTGTTGCAGAAATATATCCATTTAAGAACTTGCACTCTTGCGCCAATCTCATCCACACGTTTCCATTTTTGTCGCCAGTTTTCTGTGGCCATTTAATTTTGTGGAAATTAAATGACAGTCTTGTTCTTAATCCCATCTACAAAGCTCTGATTGGCATGTAAAACGCTAGTATTCAAGCTTCTCCCGTGTGAGGATTTGCTGAATTTCATATCATGTAAACAAAATATCTTTGCTCTGGCAGTGTTGACAGGACACCAGTGCCAAGACATCAGTTCCAGGAACACGTGATGGGTATTTTATTACTATTCTCCTAAATGATTAAACGATGACTGTAAAAACAAATCGGAAGAATTTGTTTATGAAATAATCATTACCTATTACCCTAAAAGTAATTGCAGCAACTCAGGATCATATGATAAATTTTAGCTAAGCAAATGCAGTGTTTGCCTTTTTTAAAAGCAAAATCCACTCCAGTTAGGCCAGACTTGGCTGATATCACCAGTACTCAATCCCTCTTTGTGGAAAACTTTGCCCCATCCAGGCTGTATTTTCCCTTTTTAAACTCTTTGTTAGGAGGGGAAACAACAGAAAACACTTGGAATCGCTGTGGAGTATCATCCTATTCGTATATGTTTTATTTTCTGTCTCTGCATACTCTTAATCTAACTCTCTCTTTCTCGTTCCCTGTTTTCACTCTGACCTTTTGAATCTAGCCTTTGATTGTTTCCTGTCCATGTCAGTTAGACGTAGAGAAAGACAAATGAAGAAATAGAAGGAGAGCTACAGAAAAGTACAGTGCACGACAACTGAAGGGTACACTGAATCTGATGTTTATGTTATTTATTTGACAGTGGGTCATTTGTTTTTGTTGTTGCTGTGTCCTAGGTACTAGGTGCCCCGGAGAGAGGCAGGAAGACGGAGGACGATTTCTTTCTGTTTTCTCAGCAACAGGGGACGGGCGGAGTGAGGAGAAAGATGCCCAAACCGGTTAGTACCTAACATGCTGAACGAGCTGTGTTGCTGTCATGTAGAGAGTTAGTGCCTGTCCTGCTATTCTCTAGTATAGCTATTTTTATATGCACTTCAATGCAGCTGATGAGGAAACAACTTTTCGTTTCTTCTGCGTATGTAAATACTCAGGGAAATGACAATAAAGTCTATCTATCTATATCTATCTATAATCCCACAAGGTTTTACCATTTATCTGCCCAATTCTTAAGTATCAGACTGCAGAATTTGCAGCCAAGATCATCTGTTTAGTTAATGACTTTTATTGCAATTTAGTACAAGAACTTGCTCGCTCCACTCAAACAATACTCACTGTTTTGCCCTCATTGAATAGTACTCAGGAGGTTAAAGTTGCTGGCTTAGAAGAGAGGTTGACTGCAAGTGCAGGATGAGTGTCAGGCACTGATAAGAAATGGGTAAGAAACAAATAGAAATAAGCTATTGTTCTTTATTCCTTGTTTTGGTGCCATTCATACCTGCTCTGTTATTTTAAGAGAGGCAAGAGTCTGTCATCAGCTCTCCCAGCTAGAAGTAATGTGTTACAGGAGTGCACAGAGTTTTGGGAAAACATGCACACACACACACACACACACACACACACACACACACACACACACACACACACAAGTACAACAGTCGGTCACTTTGTGGAACTGTCCTGTCTATTGAAAAGAGCACACACAATGAGGGCTTTTTCTGCTCTATTTTTGGATTGAAGGACAGTGGGAGCTTTCATCTTGCTCTGACACAACACACATACAGGCTGAGTTTGCACTACAGTTTAAAAAACAGGAATATAGTCTGAGGGTTGTGAAGACCTTTGCTATATTTTAACCTTAAAAGCAGCAATATAAATGCCAGGGATAGAGCACTTTGAAAGTGTAGCAGTTTTAAGCGTAAGTATGGAACTATTGTTTTGATACGATCAATATAATGATGTCAAAAGTCATATTTAAATGTTTGATGTTTTTTGAGAGAGAGAGAAGTCTGGGGTAGACTGGGATTTAACATCACATGTTCAAAGATTATTTCAATTAATATTTCTTTCAGTAGATGGTAAAAGTCAATTGAAGCAACATTTGACCAGCCTCAGTTTTATAATTTAAGTAATAACAACGCCTGCCTGTAAACCTACACCCAATTCTAATACTCACATTGACTAAAAATAGATTGATAGAGGTCAGTGAAAACTAAATCAAGGATAGAAAGCTTGTAGTTGCAGAGTGTTTACAATCCTGCTGCCTGTACATGCTGGCTACTTACACAGTTATATACAGCCAGCCAGCGACTGTACCAAGCCCCTAGTCCATCAATCTCAGTAATGGGGAATTAGGCCAGGACCAATTCCTGGAAAGAGACCAGGGACATGTGATGGAAAAGTAGCAAGAGGATGAGAGGTGAAGAGAGAGATTGAGGGTGATGGAAATGGAGAGAGGAAGATGAGAAAATATGAAACGGCTTATAAGAAAGAATAAATGACAGAGAGGAAGCAAGAGAGAGACTTTGTATAAAAAGGGCTTTTTAAGGTTGTGTGCAGTGCATTTTGAGCTCATGTCATAATTGAATGTCATAAAATATTCATATAATCAACATATGTTGTTAACATGAAGTAACTGGTGTTACTGTTTTTTACCACCTGTCTGAAGTAGCAAAGTGAGAACATTTAATTTATAATTTACATTTTGTAAATTGATTGAGAAACATCACTGAATTAAATCAGAGAGGAACATTTGGAGAAACAATGTTGTGTGAGATAAGAGATGGAGCCGTGTACAGGGACAGATGGAAGGGTAATTTACAAGAGTAAGTGAAAGAGAAAGTTGGAATGAATGAGTATCAGATCAAAAAACACGGTAGGGAAGAAAGAAAGGGATAAAAGAGGATTTGGAAGAGGACTGATTGACAGGCACTTTGTTCATATCCAGTCCAGAAAAACGACACCCAAGCCGCCCTTGAGGGGAACTCCCACTCCGGTTACATTAGACCACACTTTGACATTAAGCCTCGCAGTTGGACAGTAAACACATCAGCCCTTTCACTGCTTCATCTCTGCAGTCTCTGCTTGTTTTTTCCCAGTAAAACACTTAAATGTCACATCGGATTGAAAGCTAAAGCTGAGCGGCCACTGCAGGCACACCTTATAATCACTGAACAAGTAAGCTAGATTGGCTGCTCCACTAGCTCAGAGCTAATGAAGATCACTATAGAAGAAAATATATAAATGAAAAACACATCGACACACAGGTGAGGAAAGTAAACCACCGACCAGAGCTATTTTGTTGAGCCACTTAGAAACAAGCTATAAGCTAGTTAGCCTCAGGCAGACCATTAAAAAGTGAATTTGGTCTGGACCTTGACCCTCCTCTAGGCTGTGTTTTAATGGTGTTTTTGTGTGTATATACAACCTAACACAACATGGGTGTCCCCTGGTATTCATGTTTTTTCATGTTGTTCAAAGGGATTTGTACAAAGGGGCTCTGTGTAAGCAGGCTAGTCAGAAAGGGAATATTGGTGATTTAATCAAATAAAGAAGAGTAAATGAAATGAAACAATGTTATCTTTACCCCACATTTCACAATGCTGTACGTGTATTTTAAGCAATATGTGTTAGACACACAGGACTGTGCCAGAGAGGTGGCCATAAAGGGATTTTTTTGCTATATTTGTTCTATTCTAACTTTTATCAACCAGCTTTGATGAAAGCTGACTCTTACCTTTCATTTCAGAAATTAAAAGTGCTTTGATTTTGTTTGATTCTGAGAGACTATCATCTCAGATTCCTAAAGTCAAAGGGCTAACAAATGTAGAAGTTGGGTTGTAAAATTTTCAGCATCACGTGAATGATCACAATCAACTCTTTGCCTGGCGTGGAGTCACTTGATCATTTAGTTTTGCATTTAAGAGTGTAGATTTAAGCCCAAATCAGGAAAGTACTGTTACTGCACAACTGAACCCAACACAAATGTTTTCCCTCTTTATTTTAATCCTCATAATCCTCATTTCCTGCAATTTTACTCAACAGCAGTAGAAACCTTGTCCTCTGCAGAGGCCCAGGCAGGGTGAGGTACAGAACACCTTTGAAACTGGTATGGGTTAAATTTCAGGCTGAATGACACTTCATGCTTTCACACACAGACAAGGATTCTGAACGCAAATAAAGTTACAGCAAATACAGACAAAGAAAATATGTTGAACATGACATTAGGTCTTCATCCAGGTCATAAGGTGGTACGACCACTTCCTCATGTGAATTGTGTTATTAGGGACTATATCTGAATATGATATGCATATATTTGTTTGTATCCTTCCCAGTATACCAGTAAAGTTGGCCACGGACACGTCAACAAAAGGTAGAAAGTTTAACAGTTGCAGAAATATTTTCAAGGATTTTGAAGGTTTAGTATTGCTTTGTTCATTTGACAGTGACAGACACATTAAGAAAGGCCAGGGTATGCTTGACACAAACTAGTTCATAAATGTGTCTTTGAAGGCAAATGTGTTTACAGCTGTTCACAACAGCCACACTCAAAGTCAGAGTGAAAAGCTGGCCTTCATAGAGATGATGGTAAGGGAATAAGGGTGCACATCTAAAGTCAGTCTGTCCTCGAAGGCATTCATGGGGTTTGGCACTCGTTTATACACACAAAAAGAAATAGAAGTAGTTATTTTATTTTTGTTTCAAATAAAATCATTACTTAATCAGGCAGTCTCAAAAGATACCTGAGAACAAGAAACATTCACAAGAACACAGTCAGCAAACATAAACAACACAATTACACAATTCACAAAAAATTGTAAAAACAGTTACAAGAATTATAATAAAGCTTCTAAATCTCCAGGAGGAATGTAAGACTTGATGGAGCAGCATAACAATACAGAATATGTCCATCATCAAGTGCAGAAATAAAGGTTGCCTGCACAATCGTTTTACAGTTGGAAGAAGACATACATCCTTTAATTCAATACAAGAAGCCCAGTTAATAGCTTTTAATAATAGTTGTGTGAAGAATGTAAAGAATTGGCATTTTTAAACAGTAATAGAAATTGTCGAATGTAGCCTCCTTAGTAATGACGTCAGAAAGAAAGACACCTTTAAATAATCATACACAAGCCTTCTTCGGAATAGGTACCATTGCTGGCTTCATCTGTCTGTTAAAGTTATGGCATTTATAGAGATAGCAGCCTCGAGTTAAAAAACTTCTGATTGCAAGAAAAGAATTGCAAGTGTAAGGGACGCTTGCCCCCTCTTCTCATATTGAATCCCCGGAGACATTTTCACATGTGTTTCATCATATATTCATAGTGAATTCTGCTGCCTGTTTCATACTATCTGACAGTGATCTCATGTGGTGTAAGAGGACGTGTTGAAAGTGATGAGGGAATCTTACAACATCCGACCTAGTAAGATTACCGTCTTATGTTTTACAAAAAAGTGACCAGGGTGCTGTTTAGACAAGTGACCAACATGTTAAATTGTCATCACAGTAACCTAAAGGAGTGCATGCCAGAATGGGGCGTTAGTTGGAAGCAGATAATGTTTTTGAGACAAAGAAAGAAGACATGGGAAAATGTAAAGCAAACATGGAGACAACACAGAAAAAAAACTATTCATCAAGTAACACACACCCTGGGGAGCTGGAGAATCCTTTAAAAGATGCATTGATTTCCCACATGTTTTGGTCAGTGTATGTGTTTCCCCAATGGCACTGTGAGAGTGTGTGTGAGTATAGATCTGTCTGATTGCATCTATTAGAATAAAAGGTGTGTAAATGTGTTACTATATATTTATTTTGTGAATATATCTGCTTGCTTGCGTGGAATGTATGTTGTGTGTTTGTGAATAAGCGTGCATCAGGCCTGTTAATCCAGGGTCTGGGATGTGGTGGGACATTGTACATTATTGATTTAACACTGCGTTTTGCACATGTTGCCCCTCTTGGTGATGGTGTCCCTGGGGGCTGGGTGCTGGTGGAGAGGGG